CAATGATTTTTACACTCTAATTAATTTTATTTATAATTTTTAATAACTTTGATGTATTAATACTTTGATTTATTTTTAAATTTGCTCAATCAAATAAAAATAATTTATTTCTAATGCGTAAAGCAAAGTAAATATTATCAATCCGTAAAATTTAATTTAATAAATTCTACATGATTAATACCGTAATAAAAGATTGTGAGTATAGTATACAATCAAAATTGAAGGTCTAGTGATTTGCTTTTTATTAGAGGTGAAGAACATGATGGTTTTGTATCCTCAATTCAACGGATGGAGCTGTGGATAGTTAGTTATAAAGGCATTTGTGAGAATTATTTTACCAAAAAAAAAATTACATGAAAAGAGAGTTTATCAAGTAATGGGAATGTCTATTTTATACGGTTTGTATGCTAGTAAATCACTATCAAAATACTAGAACATACCCATAAAATAAATCTTGCATGGCATGAACTCTTCAACAGCTAAATAATTTGAAAACTCTTGGCATGAAGGATGCTAGCAAGTGAATGAAATTCTTTATTTTAGGGGTAAAGAGTTTTGTAAGATACAAACTAAGTTATCTAATGGCCTTATATGGGTTCTCAACCCAACAAATGAGTTAGTAATCATATAGGTATTCTTTGATTAATCTGAATTATGTAGCTAGGAATCCAACAAATAAGTTAGTAATCATATAGGTCTTTTTTGATTAATCTAACTTATATAGTTAAGAATGATAAGGGGTAAAGTATTCGATAAGTATTTTTAAAATTTATCCTCAACGAGTAGAGTATTTACTCGCTAAATAGGTATAAGTATAAAAAAATATCTGTAAATTTTAATAAGGATGGGTGTGGGTATATATATTATGCTACTTATGTAAGGAGGCCTTAATCCAAAAACTCATTATAAGAAGAAATTAGGATGAGTACTTAATACTTTACATATTTATCTAGGTTTTTTTTATAGTCATTGACAATTATGTAATCATACGAGTTATTTTACAACTTGCCTTATCAAGGGTTGTATTTTAGGAGTGTGACTTACATATAAATATCTAACCTATCACTTTTCATATAATTTAAAAATCAAGTTTGACAACTTTCACACCAAGTAAGTCTTTAACAAGTAAATCTAAACCTCTATTATAATTACTATTAATATTTCCAATGATCTTTGTTGTTCTAATTTTATATACTTTTATTTGAATATTTTTTTACTTATGATGAAGCAACTAAAAAGTTATTTGAGAAGGTAAGTTTTGAAAGAGAGAAGAGAGGAGGACATAAATTTATATTTTAAATAAATATATTTAAAATTAATATTTTTTAAAAATATAAATTAATATATTAACAAAACTTTAATGTATTAATAATATATTTGTCATTATAAATAATATATAATTTTTCAATTTAAAATTAAAAAATATGTCCTCTCCTTTCTCCTCTAAAAATATTATCCCAAACATACTCTAAGAATTAAAAAAAAAAAAAAAGAACCTAACTCACTTTTAATTTTTAGAAAGTTTTTGTGAATGCTTTTATAAAATTTTAGTCAAAATAAAGATTTTACTATTTATTTATATAATTTCATGTCTTATATTTTTTAAAGTTCTTTTATAGGTTATAATTATTTTATATTTTTAAATGGACAAATTTTCTATTTTAAATTTTAAGTAATATTATCTTTAAATTTATAATTTTTTTTAAAAAAATAAAAAATAAAATGTTAAAAAATTTAATGTAAATATTTATTGCTCAAATAAAAGAATACATATTTAAAGATATAAAAAGTTATCTAATTAAATTTATTTTATAAGATTAACATAAAAATATATTTACTAATAAACTAAACCATAATTTTTCTTTCATATTTTTAATAGAAAAATGTATTTACAATTTTATATTGTTTAATTTCAATTAATGCAATTTAATTTTTACATGATTGATATAAAAATTAATTTGTGTTATGTATTTATATATTTTAGTTTCTTTTGGTATGACTGAACCAAAACAATATATATTATTTTGACTTTACAATAAATAATTAATTAATGTTCTTTTTTTAAAGTATTAGAGGGTAAAAGTATATGGCTCTCAAGTTTATGAGTTGGTTATTTTAGATGATTTTGAAGATTATTTGTAAAATTTTACTTATGATTTTTAAGTACTTTAATTTAAAAAGTTGATGTATTAAAATACACTTAACACTTGTGATATTTGAATATTTATCTTCTATCTATGTTTGAACTTTGTTTGAATATTATGTACAATTTTTTGTATTATGCTACTTATGTAAAATTATATAAACATATTTTTTTATAAGTATTTTTTTCTTAGACAAGCATGAGTAATAGAGCAGGTATGGGTATGTGAGTATCCAGAGAATACGGATATGAGAATTAAAATTACTATCCACGCAGATATGGGATTGTGTATAAGTAATTTTTTAAAACATGAGTATAGAGATGGGTACTATATTACCTTACTCATTGCCATTCTTATATATAGCCCCAAAATGTCAAAAGAAGAAGTATTTTGACTTTAAAGTGGTATTATATACCAGCTCGATAAGTATATTTCTCTCATTTTTTATTGGATGGATCTTTTCATGTATATACTTTATCTTGTTTACATTTGACATGAGAAGATATGTTTCTAAATTGTAACAAATTAGAAGATTTGTCAACACTAACTATGCTTTTTACACTATGATTACAAATGCAACATATTGTTTCCTCAATATGGCTTTTATTAAGAACAATAAAACATAATAGTAAAGCGAGTAAATATCTAAACTATATGACTGGTACATTATGTCAGATATCAGTGCATCTAGAGTATCAACTCTTACGGGATAAATACAGTTGCAAATATTTATAATCAACCAATAACTAATACAGATCATATTAGTATATAGAAATAAATGTTCTAACTAATTCTCAGACAAACATTAGTTATTGAATATATCACGTGAAGAGTCCTAAAAGGGCATCTGAAAACATAATCTATCTAGGAATTTTAGATGCTGCAACTAAACATGTTCGAAGGACAATAGTTCTGGAATTTAGATTTAATGTATCATAAGTCATAAGCGAATGAAAGGTGATAAGATAAAAATTACAAACTCTCAAGTCAGCTAAGTAATAAATGCTAATTGCTTATGAAAAAAAAGTAATAAATGCTAATTAAAGGATGTTTGACAAAATTATTATTATTGAACAATTGGTTTTTGTAAGACATGTTTGATTTCTCTTAAATAAAATTTTTAATTTGAATCTTGTTTATAAAAAACCTCGTGGAAAAGTTAGTATAACCATATTATAGATATTTTCAAATAATCAGGATGTTTCCCATGTAGTATCTATAGACTAGAAAAATAAAATCTATGAATCTTACCAACGAATATCTTAAAAACACCGGGGAAAAATCTGTTAGTTTCAACACACTTAAACTCAGTTAACCGAAATCCAAAGCAGTTTCTGTGAGAGTGATGCAGTGTTGAAAAATTCTATTTCCAACGGGTATTTAAACAAACCTTTAATATAATCTATTAAATTTTTTTAATTGATTAAAAAGAAACTATCAAATTTTTGTGCTGAATATTTTTGGCTCGTTTCTTTGACTAGGACCTTAAAACCCTTCTTTACATTCCCCTCAACAATATTTTTCAAACTTGAAAAAAAAATGCTTGAAATACCTGAATAAAACAAATAAAACCTTAAAATGCCTTTAAACGAACAAATTACTTGAACATATGTTATTACATATTACATTTGTGTGAATCTGTGATTGGGTAAGATGGATAAAAATCAAAACGACAATGATGATCCAGTTAATGTGAAGAAACATTAGATCTAGATCCTTCCAGATGTGGCAGGAACTATATATCTATTTTTATTTTTATTTAAACAAAAATTGAATAGTTTAAGTGAAAATGCAGGAAACGACAATTTTTTTTTTGCAAAATTAGTTTAAACAAATTTTTTTTTTAATTCAACGAATTTTGTGCATTTAAAAAGATAAATGTTGTGTGGGAGAAAGCGAGAACATAGAATGGATAAAGATAAGAACTGGTGGTATAGCAGTGACGGTGGTGGAGGGACAGAAGGTGGAGAATTGAGTATGGAGAAAAGAGGGAAAGATAAGTATGTGGTAAAGTGAAAGTGGAAAAAGGAAAAGAGAAGTTGACTAGGATGAAGGGAAAAGAGAGTTGAAAAAAAAAAAAAAGAGTATGACATGAGAGAAGAAAGAAAGTTAAATATAGAAGTTTAAAAAAATTAAATACAGAAGTTGATGAGAGAATGTTATACATGGAGAGAATGAGAAAAAAAGATTGAGTAAAAAATGCAAAATTTGCTTTAAGCCAAAATAATTTACTTAAAGAAATTTATAAAATTTGTTTAAGTTAAAAAAATTTGCTTAAACTAATTTTATAAAAAAATTATGTTTTTTGTATTTTTCTTAAGTGAGTTTATTTTCACTTAAACAAAATCTAGATCCAAAAACAATCTAGAGAGTAAGTTTTATTTAAGATTGAAATAAGTATTATTTTGGATTAAGCTCCAACCTAGTATTATTAAATAAAACAGTACAATCATCAGTCAACATGGGAAAGTAATTAACGCATGCCGTGCATCTTTTTCCAGCAATTCAACTCGATGACATTTTCTGGGTTGGAATAGATGGCATTGCTCTTAGCAGTTGTATGGTCTACTAAAGATTATCTTGACAAAAATAGTAATCTGAGAAAGAACACTGCATTCAAACCCTAAAAATAAAAAGAGAAATGTCAAGAACATATTATGTAGGACATTTTTTATTATTAATTAAAATAAAAATATAAAAAATATAAAAAACATAATTTCATTTTAAGTTTAATCATTTTTACTCTTAATTTAATTACTTTTACTTAACACATTCGTAAATTTTAATAAATTGTAACTAACAATTAAAATATATTAAAAATGTTAAAGAAAATGAGACGTATGAATGGAATATATAGAGAAAATGAGAATTTTACTTTAACTTTATTCAAGTAGTTCTAGGTACAAAGGACCTGTTGCTACAAAAAGAATGGATTAACATTAAATGGGGAAGCAGCTGATAGAATTTAATGAGAAAACAATGGAGACGCCCACGTTACTAAGAAAACCTAAACGACTGATGCGAAGAAAACCAATTTACAAAGAAACAAATGACGCTAACCCAATTTCTAAGTCCTAACATTGCAAGTCAGGTTCACCAACCAAAGTTGGAAAAACACCTCGGCCCGAGAACCCAAAGGATCACCACCCGTGCAGAATGCCCAAATGTTAGGTCTGCACAAAGAATGTAAATTCATATTCTAATAGGTTAATATCTTGCCGCTGCTTCCTCAATCAATCATTTGGATTTACTGTGTTGTTAGAAAGCCCATAAGCTAAATGAAGTTAGCAAAGTCAGACTCTCGATGGCGTTCCGCAATCATACGAGGCAACCTGAAACTTCAATTCAATCTGCTCTCTAAGCCTAAAAATGAAGGGCCTCGAACTTTAAGGCGCTTTGGCCCCATCTCAATGGAAGGCGGCTCCCTAAGAGTTTGCTGCAACCTCTCTCCCCGGTGGTGATCTCGTTGCATACTTATTTCCTCGTTGCCTAACTTCCTATATCTTATAGAAACGGGAATACCATTACCCCTTGCAAATCTGTCTCTGGAGGAAATTTCGCCATCAATTTTATGGCTAACAGGGTGACTATATTTGTAACTTGATTCATTGGTTCGGCTTAAACCCATTGGTTGCCCACTTTTTCCTTCGGGAAGGACTTTCTTCAGTCGTTTAAGTCCCTGATGCATTCGTAGGGCAAATTAGATAGTAAGCCAGGGAAACATAGGAAATATTGGGAATGTAAGTAGAATTGCTTAGTGATAGAATAGTCATTAGATATACTGATATACATGATGAACTGATTTCATCAACGAAATATTTGATAATACCTGCTGCTCAGAATTCTTTGAAGACACAGCATCATTCATACTTCTCCTCTCTGCTTTCAGAGAGGAAGGGCGCTTTACCCTAAATATTTCTGAATCAGAGTCATCATTCTCATCCACAATGGGCGTTGTGTCAAATCGCTGAAGATCATCACCTTGCGGTTTAACTGAGCTTTCGTGGTACAAAGCAGGGGATACTGAAGATTCACATGCACTGTTGGATATTCTTTCACCAAAATCTTCAAAATCAGCAATGCCTGAATTGGCATCGGTATACCCCTCAACCTGATAGCAAATGAATAATAAACAGACAAGAGCTTTAGTTCATGAATCAGTAAGAGCAGTTCAAATCTCAATGCAATAATATTAAATGACAATAATCAAAAACCATATTCGAAGGACCTACATTTTTGGGACCAAATGTGCTCTCGAGAGGTTCTGAAAGAGAGCAAAGAGTGGATGCAGCCGAAGAAAAGGAAACCTCAGACACAACTGGCTTATGATTTTCAGAGCAATGCCTGAAGACAGATTGAGTCTGTGTACTGTACTCTTGTTGATTGTTATTTGTTGAGTGTTCTGGAGTTGTGTAAAATTCAATAACAGAGTCAAGTTTTAGCTCACAATAAGGTGTGTATCCATTAGCCTCAGCTCTCTGAAACATGTTTGACAAAGGATATGAATACATGTTTTGGTCACTTTTGGTTTGCTTGCTTATCTCATTCAATATCCCATCTTCATGTTCAAACATCTTGGCTGCAGCTTCCATATCCATGATATCATCCCTCAAATAAAGAGTGTGTTTGCTCCCACAGATGAAGTCAAGAGAATCAACATCTGAATTTTTCAAAATTATAAGACATTAAAATCGAAAAGGTTGTATCATCAAACAAGTATGTAAGATAATCATCTGAAAAATCCATTGTGTCCATAAATTTATCCTATGGTCAAGACTCAAGATAATGTTTTCTCAATATAATGTCATAGGATATTGAAGAATCGATTGGCCATTGAGGGGTTATAAACTCATAACCAGATATATGGTAAATAGTATTAAGCATGGGATCAAACAAAAATGTGACAGCCAAATATAATCAAGCTCAAAATGCCATATTAGTAAATAACAATGAACAAAGCTTACCATGACGTAGGCATACAGGATGCATGTGACAGTTGCAGTCAACATAAGCTATATAACAGTCACGTTTGCAGAGGCTACAGAGAATTGTGCCATGGGAATGAGAAGAGATACTTATACATGCCCTTGATTTCATAAGCAACCAACGAGCACAATGCTGGAAACGCATCAAATTAACAAATGAAATCTTAATGCTATTATGAGAAAACAAGTCTGAAGAGGGAAAGTCTGAATCTTCAAGTTCCAAGCATGTATGAAGAAGCATCGCTTCTTTGCATAGAAGTTCTTCATGGGGCAGCAAAGGAACCCTGTTAAGAAGCGCATATCTTCTGCTAGCAATAGCCCCTAAAGGAAACCAATCACCAATTGCAAAATTCACTGCTTCTCCACAGTTGAAACCTAGAATTTAATGAGGATATGGAAAATTAATTTGTGTTTAACATGCGATAACTGGGTGGAAGCAGGAAGTGAGATATCATTCTATAATTGAAATGAGTAAATCTAACCATGACTGAAGCCAGCATGATATGCTCTAGGGAAGGTTATAATAAACTCCCCCGGCTTTTGAACAGCCTTGTAAACAGGGACTCCATGCTCCAACAAAATATTTGGTGGAAATAGTGTAGTTTTCCCCAGTAGAACATCAAAGGCTCCATCTTCCCCATCACTTGACAAAATATCGTTAGTATACACATGTTCTCTCACCACCCTTTCAAATTCCAGAGCTGCATGACCCGGAATGCCGTACCATGATTTTGATGCCCCACAATGATGGTAATTAATGCTGTCATAAAAGTATAATGTATTAACATCATTAATAAACAATTGAAGAAGGAAGTCTTTAATTGTGATGAAGTTAGTCACAGTTAATTCCCAAAATAAGTAACATTTACCTGTACAAATAATGATCCTCCACGTGCCAAGCAAACATACTAAACAGCATTCCAATGTATAGCATGGGTTCCGTTACTCCCTAAAATAAAACCCTATATAAGTAATGTAAAAAGTAAAGTAAAAAAATGACTTTGACCAACACATAAAATTGTCATACCGGAATTGATGTTTCCAAGAGCCGTAAAATTGATTTCGGCAACCTTGAAAGTTTCTGAGATCATAGAGAGGGAAGTGTTGAGAATGTTAATTATAACACCAAAGGAAATGTGAAAAGCATCGCTTTGTCCAATTTTCCTCTTCTATAAATAAAGATATTTAAACACAGTAAAGGATAAAAACAAAAGAGAGACACTAATAAAATTAACACCTTCAAATTCCATTTGCTGTTACCAAGCTGGTCAGTGCGTGAAGTTGAAAAGGCACTGCCATCAACATCACATGCATATTCAACAGTTTCCATCTTCCCACAACCAATTTCATGCCAAAACTCTTTTTCCAAGTAAGTGGCAGGAAGACATCCAGCACTGCAATATCTTCGTGCAAAAACCTTGTTTGCCATTTTCTCAAAATCGCGAAATGTATAATTTCTGATTAAATTACACATATTAATCAGAAAAAGTAATACTATAATTGAAATTACAAATATTAACATTCACAACAGGAAAACTGACCTTCCACTCATGAAAAATGTGACTTTGTCTTCAGTATCCCATTCAGCAAGGCGAAGGGGCTGCACTCTAGTTGTAAACTTGAATCCTGCTTTCTCCTTCATTAAAACCACCCCAGCAGGTACTGAAGCACTCAAAGGCGAAATAATCTTGCAAATACCTGGAATTTATCATAGGTTCATTAAAATGGAAAACAGGTCACCATTTAATCACGCTACTGATTTAGTGATATCTGGTCTATTTCATTAAGTCGACGATATAGCTTTGCTTTCTAATTCCAAATAATCTATGATAAATCCTCTCATTACTAAAGATGGATTGATGAAAACCTTAAGTATTGACATTAGGGTGGTGGCAAGGAGACAAGATTGAGAGACAATTCATTTTAACTAACATCTTCACAACATGTCCATTAGTCAATTGACTTTTTGTTTAGAGTTCATTTATTCATATTAAATTTTCAAGCCACAAAACAATGGTCATCCTCTTGTTAATTTTAGATAAATATCTACTAGCTATAATTAGAATATAGACCAACAGCACAACATCATAGACCATAATTTTATGAACAAATCTGGAAGTTCCTAAAAAGGACAGTTGAGAATATTAAATTGTATTAAACTAATACACAAATAAAGCAAAAATATAACAAACCAATTTTTAAGGCTAAAACTTATTTAAAATAAGCGCACAGAAGTTTTCAGAATCCACTATCCTCATTATATAATGATTTTATCTTTTACAACACAAACAATCAACACCCTCCCAAACACACCCAAAAGTGGATTTAAGAAGTGACACAAGCATTCAGGAAGCCTGCTTTTGTGTCTGTCAATGCCGTACTTAAGTCAATACACAGTAAAAACAAATAAATATTCAACAGACTAAACCCCATACCATATTTAGAAGCTTCAGGAGCTATTTTTTGCAAATAAATCAAAGGATCCTCAAATTCCTCTTTTGTTGGTGAATACACAGGACACTCCGGAACTTTATCAGTCCATTCCAGATCACTTGTATCAAACTTATCCACCTTCCGCTTGAAAAAGGCATCTGCATTACCATGCAATCTCATGCCACATGATGCTGAAGCACTTAAAGCATCTCCTCCGCTTCTGTTCATCATATTAGCAATACTTGTCTGGGTGGCAGTGACGGATTTTGCACGTTGAAGCCTTTTGCGCTTCGAAAATTCTAACCCATTTCTAGCTTCCTTTGATAAAGTCACTCTTCTTTCCACCTGTTAGATATGTCAAACATGTCATACTCAGATTAGCAGGTATTTGAAAGTAAGACAAAAGAAAACAAAATTGAATCACAATAACGTGAAACTCAATAGATGTAAAATGATCATCAATGAACGGCTTGAAGAATATATTTTATTAGCATCACGGGAACTTTCAACTATGGTACAAAAACTCACGCACATCATTGGCCGGTAGCTCTTGAAAGGAACCATAGGGGTCTCAATGCAAAGCATCATTTCTGATGCAGTAGCTCCCTTCAGTTGTAAAGGTATAGTTCAACGGAGAGAGAGGCTGAATTTTGAACTCAAATAAACGAAAAGTAATCCAGGGCCGAAACAAATTCGACCTTAATTGGTATATTACCATTGAAGAGTCGATTACTAGATGAATAGGGCGTTCGTTACAAGGCAACCAGAGTCACAAACATTCTCGAACAACCAAAACAGTATTATGAGGTCAAACGTAAATCGCCTCATTCAGAAAAGTAACCTCTAAGAAGGGCAAAAAAAGGGGATAAAAAATTTATCCGAATTTAGAACCACGAGAAGCAAATGAGTCAACAAAAAATTATCTTAAAGAAATATTCAACAAATGCATGCGCTGAAAATTGAATAGTTTACTCCTCTCAACATCATTATTTCCACCTTAACAAAAACCAATCAAACAAAAGGTGAGTATTACTCGCATAAATTTCCACACACAAAAGGAAAGAAAAAAGATAGGCCTAGAAAATTATTAATCATTGATTAAGCAAAATTTCCAAAATTCCGATTTTGGACACGGAAAAAAAGAAAAAAAGAAAAACCATGTTCCCTTTTTCCTATTTTTCGAATAAATTTCAGAGAACTATGATTCCCTTATTGGAGGAAAAAATCCACTCTCGCAAAATGCACCTTAAGCATCCCTCAAGATCATGAATTATATCTCACTCTGAACTTGATATACAAAAGGCAAAGGAAAAAAACACTAATTACGAGAAGCGACTTGAAAATATCATCATTCAGGCTAACAAAACAAGAGAAAACGCATCCATATTGTAAAAAAGTATAACAATGTCCGAGATCTGAACGATGAACATGAGGAAGACACATTTTCTAGAGAGTTTCAAGCATTGATAAATCAAACACCAAATAAAACGGTGATACAGATAATTTTTTTCAGCAAAACACGATTGACCTACCATTTCATTACGAAGTCGCTCCCTGTAGGCCTCCGTCTTCGTTAGCTAGAACAAGGAATCGCGAGAAACAATAGCAACGCCAAATCCAAATCTAAACCCTAAACCACGATCCTGAACGATGCAGATTAAGAGCGAGCCTTGAACGACAACCAGGCTCGCCACATTCTCGAAGAACGCCGAATACAAGGCTGATACCGCGTCACAGAGAGATCCAACGCCTGGTAGGAGCTACCACAGCAAATTGCGAGAGAATGCAAACGCGTCAATAGGAAGACCGCGACCAGCTTTAACTGGAGGCGCAAAACAAGGTGTGGAAACAGAAAGCGGTTTTCCGGCGACGGTAGACGTTTACCGGCAAGGCCAGAAAACGGAGAGGAATAGAGGATGAGGAAAGAGAGGAAGGGAATGCTTAGAAAACCGAAAAAGGGTAAGGAAGGGATAATTTATAGTTTTATACTCTAAAATAATTAACGCTTTATTAGCTCTGAAAACCGAATAAAGAAAGGGCTTTTAATTATTCATTTTTATTAAAAAATTATAAAATTAAAGAAACTTTGAGGAGAAGTGGTGGTGGTTGTTAGGTGGTTCAACGAAAACAAAACTTGCCGTCCAAATTCCAAAACGCGTTTTGAGTGTAAACGCGATTATTGAAGGTTTCTCCGTTCCGTGTAATGACAGAATCACCGTCACTGTTAAGTAGGATTTATTGGCGGGTCAGAATTGAAGAGCCGGTAATTGCTACAATGTCATAGGGGTAATTTGGTAAATGAAAGGGAACGGTATTATCGATGAGGTCTGGCTTCTGTACCGGTCAGAGGAAAAGAAACTGGCAGGAAGAAGGGAATGATCACGTGCGATAAGACTGAAGTCAGTTATGTAGACAAGTTTGACATCGAACCGTTGATTTTCTTCGTCGTTTACTTGGAACCGTCCAATGTACGTGAACTCTCCCGAATCAAGAAGCCCACAGAGGCACGTGTACTTTTTCTGTTCAACTGCCGACCTGTACAGGATAACTCTCACCTACCTTCCAGTTAGTTAAGCCTTCGAACTCGAAATGACTATTTTCTCATCGTTCGGTTTGTCCCGTTAACACAATGTCGAAGGGCATTTCTGGGATTTGGGGGGTTCGTCACATGCGAAGTGACTTTCGTAATGTGAGTGAACTACCGCAATGCGTGACCTGGCGTGGTGCCAAGGGACAAGCTAGGACCGACACGTGGCGTTTTGTTGTGAGCAGGAGATACACGCGGCATGCGGATGAGGGTATGGTTTGGTGGATTTTCTGTGCCACTAGGGGTGGTGGCCAGAACGGAAATAGCTGGCGGTTACAACAGGGTTCCCAAGGTGTCCCATCCTGTAGCAAAGGAAACGATAGGGCCCAGCCACAGAACAGAACCCACCTCTCGTCCTCACGAGAAGTTCTTGTGCCATGCTTCTAATGCAAATTGCCTATTTCGTTTGGAACTTTCTTATTTATTCCTGCAAATTAAGGGAAGGATTTAGTGACTAGTATCAATAGATTCAATAGCGAATTAACGGTTATTCTTGTTCATGAGCTAAACAAATAAATAAAATAAATAATTATAATTTTAAATTGTAAATAAAAGTTTACTCCTATTTTTCAAATTAAATAAATATTTTTTAATCAATGTATCGCTTATTAACAATATTTATAAAAAAAAAAAAACAGATAAATAGAGTAAAAAAACCACATGTGGTAATGGTTTTCCGGTTTCCGGTGGCGAATTCTCTCTCCCCTATCTATTGGCTAGTTTGTTCTTTTGAGCTTTTTGTTACGCGGAGGTTGGGCTAATGATTAGAATTCCACAGAGTCAGCGAAAACGAAGCTTTGATAATGGTCTATTTGGCGGCTCGGCTTATAGAAAGCTTGCTGGGCATGTTTTAGTGTAACACGCAGTGGTAGCTTGGTTTCTCTGAGCCGAGCTCGGGTAGAATTTTGGTTGAAGTAATAAAATTAAAGAAGAAAAAATAAAAAAATAAAAAAAAATTATATGTGACGATTTTGTAGAACACGAAGTGACAAAAAATCCCTTTTTAAAATAATTAAAGTGAGCGGCACGCAATAAATGCGGCAATGGGGTACACGAAACCTGTTATTATTGACTGTCCGAAGGCGAAGCTTCCCTGCTTTGCGTGTAAGCTCAGGTTGTGGATACTCGCTTGAAATAGCTGCGTCTGCCCAAACCGGGAAGGGCATTTTTGTAATCTTGGAGGGCCAGTTGGGCTTCCGTTGGAGGAGTAAGGGTAAAGATTCTGTTTCTGGAAAGTTCTTTAATTGACCAAAATGCCTGATGAACAGTGCAAATTCACTTAAATACCTATCGCTTTTTGGTATGCATACGTTTTGTGTTGTTACTTAAAAAACAAATAAAATATGTCCTTTTCTTTGGGACCACAGCAGAACCAACCAGCCTTTATCACAGCTCACACGTAAAAAATAAAACATGGATGCGTTGGTTCATTATTTTAATGGAGTATATGCTAATTAAAGTTGTCATTATTTTTCTTTTTTGGTGGAGTTGTTTAATTGGGTTGCCAATTTATATTAGATTTCAGGTTCTGGATTCAGAAAATATATCCTTTTATCTGATTTTTAAAATTAGAGTTAACTCTAACAATTTAAATTTCATGTTAGTTTTAATTAATATAATTTAAGAAGTTTAAATTAGTCTATTCCATCAGGTCATTCAACTTTGTCAATAATTTTAATATTTTTTTAAATTAAATCACACAAATTAAAATTGTAGTTCAAAATTTAATATATTGCTTTCTAAAATATAATATTTTAATTTTTATTTAAAATTAAACTCTATTTTTATATTAATTATCATAAAATTGAAATTTTAATAGTTAAAAACCACAAATATGTATAAAAAAACTTCATAATACTAAAACTTTATAAAGAATTGATTATTTAAAAAAATATTATAGACAAAATTAGAGAGAATGATAAAAAAAAGGAAAATGCAAACCTCCTTGGAACACAAAAGTATGCATATTGATGTGTTTTTCAATATAAAATATATTTGTAATTTTTTTAACTATTGCTCATGGGATGTTGATTAAGAAATTTAAAATCATTTTTAAAGTGAAACGTAATACTTTTTGTGATTTTAAATGAAATCTAATATATTTTTTAATGATAAATTATTTATTTTTATATTTTTAAAATAAGGGTTAGGAAAATCCAATAACAAAATCATATTTTACATTTATGTAATATGGTATATGATAATAAATAAATAAATTATTAAAAAATGTAATATTCAATTATATTATTATACAACATTATATAATTTTATATATGTTTACTGTTATGTAAATTTTTTAAAAAAAAGAGAGAGAAAGATGGAGGGGTAGAGTCTGAATTGTAAGTGAATTGAGAGGCGTAGGATTTAGTTGTGGTGATGGAAATGATGATGGGATGGGACCAGAGACGAATTGGAATGGATAAGAGATAATTGAAGAGAGGCAGGGGAGTTATGATGCCACATTTATCGCAGGTAGCTGCAAAAGTGAAGGGAGCCAGCTATGGTAGATGATGTGGGTAAAGCATCCAAGTTTTCAAGAGGGTAACTTTGGAGGTGTCCATTTCCAAAGCACCCGCGATCTTGGAAGTTAAATGACCCAAAATAGGGTGAATCAACTACTATGGAAGAATTTCAGTGACTTGGTCCAAGTTCCTAGTTTGCCATAAAATAAGACAAAAAAGGCAAAATTAGGCAAAAGGATTTTGCATACCAACCAGACCCCACCCCTTTACTTTCCCTTCATTTAGATTACTCCCTTTCTTATCTAATACTATTATCTGTTTATTTTAAAAGGAAATAAAATAAAAAAGAGCCTCACCTTCGTCGTTGACATGTTTCCACAAGTCCATATAAATAATGACCAACAAAAATGATTAGAAACTAAACAAGTGATGTGAATGGGAGAAATTGGATTTGGAAATGATCATCAATAGCCACATGGATTATTGACCGGGTTCTTAGGTGTCACACAATGCATTCATTCACAGTTAAACTGAAGCCCTTGACAATAGTAATCTGCTAAACGTTCAGCTGAGTACGAATTAACTGTGCTGATTATTTTATTTTATTTTATTTTGTAAACATGTACGTACAGTAATTTTTTATTAAAATTTAAATAATTTAATATATTAATAATATTAAATGTTATAATTTTATTAATATTTGTACAGCATTGTCCAGAGTAGAATAATTTTATTTCAAAGATTTGATGTATATCCATATTTTTAAAAAATAATTAAAAATTAAATTAAATTATGAATAAGTAACATTTTAAAAACAAAAGACTGTATTATATTTTATAATTAAAAAAATCATATAACTTAAACAAATTTTAAATTACTCTTTTTTAAAGAACATCAAAAAATTATAAAAGAGATTTCAACTTAAACAAACAATCAATCACCAACGAGAAGCTAATTAATGTAATACATGGTTAATTTAAAAAAACTTAAATTTAAGTTTTAAAAAACACTATTAAAATATATTTTTTATTGTATTATGAATATTTCTGACTTAGATAATGTTATCTTTCTTTAAAAAAATACTTACAATGTTAAGAAGGGGAAAAAAATTGAACCTGACTACAACATTTATGAGAAAATATAATAAAAGTAAAATAAAGTTTTTCTAAAATGTGTTGAACACATGGATATTAAATTTTTAAAATAAAAAATATTAAATGATAATATTTATTATTTTCTTTTTGTATAGACTATAAAATAATGTTGTTCAGGTTAAAATTAGTATAAATGACAAAATTTTTATTTTAAATATTTCATATAAATATATTTTCTATAATTTGAACTCCATAGAATAAACTAAAATAACTCCATGTAATTTAAATTTGATGTGTTTAATAGTAGAGAATTTATAATTTTAAAACTATAAAAAAATTATTTAATATATATTTTCATAATAATTCAAAATATTCAATAGAGTTTATTTAATATTTTTAATGTGTTAATGAAAATACCTTAAGAAACTTGGGAGCAAAATTATTCAATATTTAGTAACAAATGAAAAGAAGCTCAGAATGGTTAGAAAGGTATGGATTTTTTAGGATTTGGGTCACCTATAGATATTTTAAAACTACAAGACATTTTGACCATATATTTTCTTGAATTATAAAGTTATTTTAAAAAGGTACAGTTCAATATATCAAGTAGCTGGAGCATTAACTACACAGGATGTACATCTTATTTTTTATAGTGGAGATTTGTCTTTTTAACAAAAGAAAAATCCACAATAAACTTTATAATGGAAGAGAGAATAATTTAAAAAGGAGTAAAACACACTATAAAAATTGTACTAATCATATTACTAATGGGAATTAAATTTAGTAAAAGAAATTATTTG